GCGGGGAGGCTGTGCCTGCATGGTGGGTCCACGAAGGTCTGCGTGGGGAAGGGCTGGAGCTGCCCCATATGGCTCAATGCCATCTGGGATGGTACCCATCACCCAGGGGAGACAGGACCCTCCTTGAGTGCCTGGGGAGACACGACGGGGGCACCCACTGCCCTGGGAATGTGCCCATCCCTTCCTCTCTGGGTGCTGAGGAGATGTTCTCCCCTCCTGCCTCCAGGCTACGGTCAGGGATCAATCCAGGAGGCTCTGACCTCTCCCCATTTCGTCCCCGTAGGGTAGGATCTCTTCGTCTCCTCATGCCACGTTTGCCTTGTGTGGCCCCTATTTCTGATGTGATTATTTATTGATGACTGGAATGACCTTATACTTATCATGTGCTGTCTGGAAGTGCAATATCTGAGAGGCTCTACAGTCACGATGTCTTTTCGGTGTATTATTTGCCTAATACAGTATTAAATATTTTTTTAATTTGAAGAGTCGGTGAGCCCTTTATATCGATGCCCTATTTCTTTCGTCATATTATTGGTACTGCATGGACTCCAAACCCTGGATTGGGTCAGGAAAGGATGTATGTGTGTTCCAATAAACAGGATTTTAAAACAGTGTTGGCTTGAGAACTTCTTTCTAGATCCCAAATTAAAAAGATAATTAATCTTTAGTTCCTTCAAGAGTTTTTGGGGGTACAAGGCTGAGCCCCAGTTACAAAACCAGTGAAATCACTGGTCTCTGCAGGGGTGATTCAAGCGTGGAACATCCAGTTCCCACCGCTGAGTGGCTGCGCTGAGGTCCAGCTGCATTTTCTGATACAGAGAAATCCCCAACCTGGGAATTAGAGGAGACCTGCGCAGAGGGGAACAGCAGTAAAAGAAGCTCTGAGCAGTTCAAACAAGAATGCCTTTATTAAAAAAAACAAAAACAAAACAAAACCGAATAAATTAGCAAAAATAATAATTAAAAAAAACCCCACAACCAAATGGCAACTCCACACAGCGTTCAGTAGAAAAGACATGGCGGGGCTCAGCACCCGCAGGACACCAGCCAGAGAGAGACGTTGGTCAAAGAGCATCATGGAAACAAAAAATAAATCAGCAAGAGAACCCAGCACACACATTGGCCCCCAAAAACCGATCACCCCCAGATGGGGAGCAAAGCAGAGCCTGACGCCGGGCGGCCGCCCTCGTGGGAACCGGGGCTGCTGCCAGCGTGGGGCTGTGGCGCTGCCGGCGTCCCAGGTCTCCCACCTCTCCCACCTCTCCCACCTCTCCCCCCTCTCCCACCTCTCCCACCTCTCCCTGTTATTTTTTTCTTCATCTGGCCAGGCAGGAGCATTTCACGAGGAGTGGGAAAGGAGGTGAGTGGTTTCAGCGGTGCAGTCCACAACACCGGAGGGGTAAATATGATTTCCAGTGGCTGGGACCTTCCACCGTCCTCTTCCCCCCCTGTTTCCCCGCTTCCAGCGTCTCATTCCCACCCTGTTACCAGCTCGAAGAGCCACTGGGGTTGCCTCAGTTTTGGACCCGTTCCTCCTGGAACGTCACAGCCACGTCCTCCACGGCGATGCTCTCCACGATGGAGGAGAGCGAGTGGAGGTTGCGGTCCTCTGCCACATCGTCAGCCAGGAGGTGATCTGCAGAGAGCAAGGGAATGGTGACTGCTGGGGACAGGGAACGTGTGCTGGGGACAGGGACCGTGTGCTGGGGACAGGGACCATGTCATAGGGACAGGAACTGTGTGATGGGGATGGGGACCATGTGCAGGGGACGGGGACCATGTCATAGGGACAGGGACCGTGTACTGGGGACAGGGACCATGTTCTGGGGACAGGGACCAAGTGCTGGGGACAGGGACCGTGTGCTGGGGATGGGGATCATGTGCTGGGGACAGGGACCATGTGCTGGGGACGGGGACCATATCATAGGGACAGGGACTGTGTGCTGGAGACAGGGACCATGTGTTGGGGACAGGGACCATGTGCTGGGGACAGCTCCTGGCTCCATGCAGGGAGGACCCCACCACCCCCCACATGGCCAGAGTGACCTGGGGACCCACACCCAGCTCCCACCCTGAGGGGATGAGACCTTCCCCTGGAGAGGGCAACATGAAGTGACACTTTGGGACACTTTTTAGGTTTTATTCCCTGTTGGAAAATGAGATTTAAGTTTCTGCCTTCTGGGGAAAAAAAACAGGTGGGTTTGGCAGGGGGAGGAAAACTGCAATAATGGAAAAAAAAAGCAGCAGCTGCAGATGGGGTGTGGGGAGGGAAAGGAGCCTGGGGCAGCAACGCTCGGCACCACAACAGGCAAAGCCACTCAAGGGATGGTGACGGATGGGGACCAAGGTGCCAGGGCTCTGGGCTGCTGCAATTTGGTTTCTCAGCTCCTAAGAGCTGGCGTCTCGGGGAGTCAGGCAGTGGGAGACACCTGAGCTCACTGAGCATCGAGCCAAGGAGGTGCCGGAGGATTTATGAGCCTGGAGGGAGATTTATGAGCGGGGTGGGGAGAGAAGGACAAGGCTCCTTTTGTCCTCTGCTCCCAGGATCTCCTGCTTGAGGGGGTTTGGCCCAGTGATGCTCTGCCCAAGGGCTGTGGTGTCCCCAGATGCTGTCACCCCCAGAGCCAAGCGAGGGTTCAGGACACTGGGGTGAGGTGGGGAGGACCTTACCAGCAGGGTTGGTGCCGAACTCCAGTTGGCTGCTCCACTCAGGGCTGCAGGACGAGCTGCCGGACCCACACTCGCTGGTCGCCTGCAAGGAATCAAGATGCCAAAACTGGGTCTCGTCTCCTCCAGCCCAGACAAACCCAACAGGCACCCAAAAACACCCTGGGGTGCCCAACCACCACAGCACAACACCCTGAGGAGATAGGCACGTCCCTCTCTACCTGCAAAGCAGCTGGAGGAGCCAACAGCACTTGGGATCCCCAGGACCCATCGGGGTCAGATGCTTCATTTACCATAAAGACTGAAATAAAGCCTTTTTGGGCTCTGGACACAGGAGAAAAGGAGGCTGAGGGGAGACCTTCTGGCTCTGTCCAAGTCCCTGAAAGGAGGGTGGAGAGAGGTGGGGGTGGGTCTCTTCTCCCAAGGACCAAGGGACAGGACAAGAGGAAATGGGCTCCAGTTGTGGCCAGGGCAGTTGAGATGGGATGTGAGGAAGAATTGCTTTGCTGAAAGGGTTCTGAGGCATTGGAAGGGGTTGCCCAGGGCAGTGGTGGAGTCCCCATCCCTGGAGGGATTGGAGAGTCGTGTAGACATAGTGCTGAGGGACACGGGTTAGTCGGGGACTGGTCAGTGTTGGGTTCATGGTTGGACTCCATGAGCTTAAAGGGCTTTTCCAATCCAGGCCATTCTGGGATTCTGTGAGAAATTGAACCATCTGCTCACCACCGGTAAAAAAAGTGTCTCTTTACCCACAGATTATGAGGAAGGGCTGGAGACAGACAAATGTCCTTGGGCAAAACAACTTCTTGCTGAAAAACACCTAATCAGGCTCATAAAAAATGACAAACGGGCTGGACACCCTCAGGCCATCCCAAGGGGATTTCTGGGGAGGATCTTTTGGCAGTTTGATTTGTGGATTTGGAGCTGAACAGTTATTTCAGAGAAAAGAGCTGACAGCCTGAAAAATGAGAGTGTTACTGAGAAAAGCTCTGAATTAACTTTTTTGTGTGTGTTTCTTTATCTGAAAGTGGATGTCGTCCCGGGTTAAACCCAAAATATGATTTATAGGAGCAACCCCAGGACCCAACTACTTGTAGCAGCCTAGAAATGGCATTTTGGATCTAGAAGCTCGTGGCAGCAGATGCTAATTAATTAACACTTGGATTTATTTCCCACTAAAGTGGAAAATTCTTACAGATGTGGGGTTTTTTTCACCAAAATATTGGATTTTGCACTCAATAGATGAGCCCCTGGCTATGACTGGCAGAAAGAACAGCTCAGAGCAGCAGTGACATGGGAACTGCTCAGTGTAGTTTGGGGCACATTTGCAGGGGCAGCCAACAAATCCACCTCAATCAAACCCAAGGGGAGACATTGGATTTACACCGAGAAGTCCCAAGAATATACAGGATGAACCCTAAAGGCTTTTTCAGTCCTTTATTCAGCTCTAAATGTGGGGTTCCCTGGGTACCTGCTGGGTTGGTCCTTAAATCCCTTAGTCTGGAAGGAGATGGATCTCTGTGAATCCCACTTTTCTGTGCTTCTTATCAATCTTTCCATATCCATATCCATATCCATATCCATATCCATATCCATATCCATATCCATATCCATATCATCATCTATACCTACTTCTACATCTACATCTAGGTTGGATGAGGCTTTGAGCAACCTGGTCTAGTGGAAGGTGTCCCTGCTGATGGCAGGGGGGTTGGGACTGGATGAGCTTTAAGGTCCCTTCCAACCCAAACCATTCTATGATTCTATGATTCTATGATCTACATCTATCTATGTAATTTATATCTATATTGATACCTATACCTATACATACATCTACATCTACATCTACATCTACATCTACATCTACATCTACATCTACATCTACATCTACATCACCTATATCTGTATTATCTCTCTCTATATCATCAATATCTATATGTACATCTACATCTATCTATATCCTCTATACTGATAGCTATACCTACCTATACATTTTAATGTACAAAACCTCAGAGCTCCAGGGAAGTTCCTGCCCCAGACATCCTCACAGGAAGCAGAGGGCAGATAAAAATATCTCCCCAAAATGTGGTTAAAAACACCAAAATCTTGGGGTGTGACAGGACCCAGCACACAGCATCTCTGCTCGGTGCTGTTCCAAGACACAACCACTGTGACCATTCCCACCTGGCTCTGGAATCTGCACCGGTGGTCTGAGAAACCAGAGGTGACCCCACACTGACCCCCACCCTGTCCCCTGCTCTGTCCCCTGTGCCACAAGGACTGTCAGAAAAAGCCCCCGTTCCCCAGCGTGTCGTGGCAGCAGCAACTATGTGACCCCCCCACCCCATGATGGTGTTTGGTCAGAGGCACTGTGGGGAGAAATCAGGAGTGTGTGTGTGAGCAGGGGGATTTAATTTTATTTTGTATTTTTATTAATTTCATTTCATTTAATTTCATTTAATTTTATATCTTCTTTTTTAAATTTAATTTTTTTTTAATTTTATTTTCCATTTTTTTAAATCTTGGTTTTGCCTTTATTGTCCCTCTCAAGCCCGGACACACGTGCCACATTCAATGCAGCGTCCAGCACTGGACCACGCAGCCCCCACTACATCCACACATAAATATATAGATGTATAGGAAGGGAAAGGCCACCAATGTCCCTTCATCCCGGGATCTGGGAGCTCAGCTGGGGCTGGATCGTAACTGCCCTAAGCCTTCATGGTAGACACGTTTTCCAAGCCATGGCAGCAGCATCTGCCTTGCCCCCAGGCTGGTGATCCTGCTCCCACCAGCAGGACCCAGTGCCCCAGAGCTGCCTGCGATGCCTTTGCCTGGGGTCAGCCCCACAGATCATCACCCCCATAGAGCAACACCCCATAGGGCATCAACCCCATAGACCATCACCTTCATAGGGTAACATCCCCACGGAGCAACACCCCCCAGATCATCACCCCCATAGGGCAATACACCCATAGGGCAACATCCCCATAGAGCAACATCCCCCTAGAGCAACATCTCCACAGGGCATCAACCCCATAGGGTATCACCCTCATAGACCATCACCCCTATAGACCATCATCACCCCCATAAAGCAACAACCCCGTAGAGCAACACCCCCATATGGTATCAACCCCCTGGGGCAACAACCCCATAAGCCAACACTCTCATTGGGCATCAACCCCACAGACCATCACCTTCATAGGGCAACAACACAATTGGGCATCACCCCCATAGACCATCAGCTTCATAGGGCAACACTCCAATTGGGCATCACCCCCTTAGAGCAACACTCCATTGGGTGTCACATCCATAGAACGTCACCCCCATAGGGCATCAACCCATAGACCATCACCCCATAGTCCATCACCCCCATAGAGCAACAGCCCCAGAGGGCATCACCCCTATAGACCATCACCCCTGTAGACCATCACCCCATAGAACATCACCCCATAGGGCATCACCCCCACTCTCATCCCCAGGGCAGGTTTGGGGACCCCAGGGGATGCACAGAGGCACTTACCCCGGGCTGGGGAGCAGCGGGGCGGAAGCGCAGGTCCCTCTGCTCCCGTTCCTGCTGGTTGAGGGTGCTGAGCAAGCTCTGCAGCCTCTCGATGTACTGGATGGCGCTGCGCAGGATCTCCACCTTGGGCAGCCGCTGGTTGGGGTTGAGCAGGGTGCTCCGTTTCAACGCCTCGAAAGCTTCGTTCAC